TTTTTTTTTTCCCTTCAATGCTGTAGGAATCTGAATTAGAGCCAATGAATGGTGAGATAATGGAGGATACTCTTAAGAGCTCGCTTGTAACCGAAGAGGATGACTCCACTATTGATGTTTTGGATGAAGAATTAAAATTGCAGTCCTTTAACTCCAGTGAAGACTCTCTGAATCTTGTTCCACTGGTGGTAGAATCGTCAAAACCGCCGGAAGCTGTTGCGCAAGATAAGGCAAGGGGGAAGCACCTAACTTTATAATCAGAGCACTTTGATGGTGCAGGCATCGGTGTGTGTGCTCAGTGGGAACGCCCGTATTCTTCCCTCATTTTAATGCGGAAAATCTTTCAGGGAAACAAACTTTCATCTAGATTTGATATTTTAAGAAAATGAGTTATAGCCCACAAATTCACATCTTCATGATTTTATTTATTTGTATCTACCTTATGATAACAGTATTGTTCTGTTTTGTGGAAATGGTTAGAAAACTGTATATAGGATGCTTACCAAACATTTGATTACCCATTGCTTATATAAACTATTACTGATACAATCATTTTAGCTTGTTTTAATTAGGGTGAATAGTGAGGAACCACTGGATTACTTAAAATGTTTTATTACTTTTGGCTACTCCAATTAAAACCAAGAAACAAGTGCATGACATTGTAACTAGTGGAGGGGGCTAGGGCCAAGTCCCCAGGGATTCTCCTTTTTGGCTCCAGCAACCTTCAGAGTCTAAAAAATGTTGATTCATGGTTTTGAAGAATCTTATCAAGTTAAAATGTTTTAAGTACTATTTTATATTAAGTACTAATATATTCTATTAATATATTAAGTACTATTTTAGGTTAAATAATTATATTTTTAAAGAAAAGCCCAATAGTCACATGAGACAATAATTTTGCAGAAATTTGGCTATACTCACAATATGTACCTAACAAAAAGTAACACGTACTTGTCAGGGCGAGGGTGTCCCCAACATTTGAACGGGTCCTCAGGAGCAACTTTGTAATTGTGGAAAATATCAAAGACTGACATACAGACAGCGGAACCCAGGGCCTCCTCATCCAGTGTCAGGAATGAGAGAGACTGTATTTTCCAATGGGTGTATATAATGGGGTTTACAGATCTTTCATAAGGCTTGCACGTCATACAGATAACATATAACGTAATCACTAGGTACTATCATAAGCGTGTAACATAATAAACCAACAGTGAGGTGAGTCATTGTCCTGACCTAGTGCTAGTTGACCTCAAAACCCCCTGAGCCCTCCCCAGGTTTAGTTGTCTCTAATCAATATCAGCAAGAGATGTCAAAACAGAGTTTGCTACATTTTATGGTGGGTTGGCTATAGAACCTGATTGCTTTTATCTACAGATAACCTTTAGGCATTGTGAAGTAGCCTGACACAGAAATGGTTCATCTTACATGGTAGCTCCTTTATGACATTTCTATTATGAGGGCTTATTGGAGGGACCGTGTCCAATCTGGAGACTATAGATTAAGACTTGTTTATATCTCATAGCCGTGAGAGTCTTCCCCGACCCCGACTCAGCTTTCTAGACCTGTAATTCTGAGCGTGGACGATTGAGCTGCATGACATTCTCATCCAGTCCCTCAGGTTACCGCACATACTGAAGTTTTCCTCTTGAAGTTCAGTATCATCCCATTGCACATTGGTGTCTGTGTCAGGTTTTTGAACTAGATTGCAGACGCTTCTTTGCTGACCAAGTTTTTTATTTTCAGAGCCCACATATAACTGACTCAGCACCGTTGGCAGAAGAAAGTGCATCCGATGACAAAGGGCACACTGAAGAGAAACTGCCCGTAGCCTCCAGAAAGAAAGCCCATATAGGGAGTCCAGACGATGCTGCCACTACCCCAAATGAAGAGAGATCTGACAGTGGTTTTCCCAATTCTGTGGTAACTGAGTTTTCTGAGGAGTCGATATCTGAAAATGTATCCCCCAACACTACTTCCTCAGTGGAAGACCCGGGTGAGGAGGGTGTCTCGGAGCCCCAGGAAACATCTCTTGCTCTTCATCAGAGCTCATTGTTGGAGGTTGAACTTGAAGATGTGCCATGTTCGCAGACTGCAGGACAGAAGAGCCAGTCGGAGGAGCAGTCTGAAGCCTCCTCCGAGCACCTGGATCAGTTTCCCCCGTCGGCAGACAAAGCTGTGGATAGCAGCTCAGAGGAGATCGAAGTGGAAGTGCCTGTGGTGGACCGGCGTAACCTGCGAAGAAAGGCCAAAGGGCATAAGGGACCTGCTAAAAAGAAAGCCAAACTAACTTGAGAGAAGAAAGGTGGATGAGCATTTCTCTCCTTTGTAACATAGAATTGTTTTTTTTTTAATATGGTAATTAATAAATGCACCCGGCACAGGATGGAATTTCCAAAATGTCAATTTGAACTTCTTGATGGAGTGTCCCCTCTCCACTCTTAGAACATAGGTAGGGTTCTCCATTCTTTTAAATTTTTTTCCAGGCTCTTTTGTTGTAAACACCGTATTTTATTTTTGTTGACCATACTTCAATTTGGGGAAGCCAGATCAGACTTTATTTTCATCTTTAGCCGATGGGGGCATCTGACCACTCATATTTGACAAAAATACCCATTTGAAAAATCCTGTGCAGGTGGGCTACCTGTTATGTGGAAGTATCACAGAAATCTTGTCTACTAAGGGTTTTCACAGCAAACTTGGTGACTGGTTTTATGGTAACTCTGAGGCGTGCATGCCTGTTAGAGTCAGTACAACTTCAAGTCAAAGGCTGTTAACAGGTGAGATTGATTGGAGTCGGAAGTGGTTTCCACTGGTATTTCAGTGTCTGCGGGCAGGCATCCTCAGTGTTTCCGATTCACTCTGTTAAGTGTGCTTAACAGTACTGCTGGGACGGACATCTGGCACATAGGCAATATAATTTAGTTGTCAGTATTAATTTGAATTTAAAAGCGTTGATCTCTTCATATTCAGATGCTGAGTACATTTTGACTTTACTCAGTTAACATCCCAGTGAATGAAGCTTTGGAATCTAAGTGCTGTGAATTGCACTAGCTGATCCTGATCACAAAGCTGGATCGGTTGAGCCGGCGGTTGTGTCCATGCGCAGCTAACACCTACTTTGAAGGGTGAGGGCCCCTCGTAAGGCAGCTTCTTCATCTTCTCTCTAGGATCGGCTTTCTCAGGAGGGCTTCCTGCCTACTTCTAGATCCTTAGCCTCAGTTCTTGGGGACGTTTGGGGCCCTAGGAGGTATAGTCAGTCACAAGTGCTTCTACTTAAGTTGGAGGCTTGATTCGTGTGGTAAGCTAGCCTGTGTGTGTGCC